CAGGTCAGAATCTTATATGCTTCGAAAAGAAAGTCTCAATCTTCAGGAAAGGCTGCCCGAACAAAGAAAAACGGCGCAACCAAACCTAGATGAAGAAGATTTTCAAAGTTCTTTCGTTGGAGCCATCATCACTTCTCAATATAAAAAATGGTACGCTCTCGTTACCTTAAAAATTTATGATTTCAAAATCACACTAAAGGCTCTCATAGATACTGGAGCCGATCAAAATTGCATTCAAGAAGGCCTGATACCTACAAAGTATTTTGAAAAAACTACTTACGCCATTAGAGGTGCTAACAACAACAAACTCAAAATTAATTACAAACTATCAAAAGTTCATGTTTGCAATGATGGAATTTGCTTCGTAAATTCCTTCCTTTTAATAAAAGACTTAGAACAAGAATTAATCCTAGGTACTCCTTTCATTACTCAATTATATCCTTTTAGAATAACTGAAAAAGGGTTAGAATCGAAGGCCTTAGGAAAGAAGATAAAATTTAACTTTCTCTACCCATAAGGATTAGCGAAATAAATAACCTTCAAAAGAATACAATTATTCAATCAATAAATGTATTAAATTAGAAAGAAAAACAAATTTCTTTTTTAAGAGAAGAAATTTCATTCAAAAGAATAGAAGAACAGATTCAAAATAAGACGGTCCAGTCTAAAATCAAAACTTTACAAACTCAGTTAGAAAGGGAAATTTGTTCAAATATCCCAAATGCCTTTTGGAATAGGAAACAACATATAGTTAATCTTCCTTATATCAAAGCTTTCGAGGAGAAAAATATTCCTACGAAGGCCCGACCTATTCAAATGAATAAAGAATTACTAACATTCTGCAAAGCACAAATTAATGATCTTTTGCAGAAAGGTCTTATTAGACCATCAAAGAGCCCCTGGTCATGTGCGGCTTTTTACGTCAACAACCAGGCAGAAAAGGAACGTGGAGTCCCGCGACTGGTAATTAACTACAAACCCTTAAATAAAGTTTTGGAATGGATTAGATATCCAATTCCAAATAAATCAGATTTAATGCAAAGAATTTCAAATGCAAAAATATTGTCAAAATTTGATATGAAATCAGGATTTTGGCAAATCCAGATTTCAGAAAAAGACAAGTACAAAACGGCTTTCAATGTCCCTTTCGGACAATACGAATGGAACGTTATGCCATTTAGGCTAAAAAACGCTCCATCCAAATTTCAAAGATTATGAATGATCTTTTCAATCCTTTTCAAGACTTTTCAATTGTTTATATTGACGATGTTCGGATTTTTTCTCAAAACATCAATCAACACTTCAAGCATCTCCAAACATTTTTTATGACAGTCAAAAGAAACGGTTTAGTTGTGTCTAAACTCAAAATTAAACATTTTCAAACAAAAATCCGTTTTCTTGGATTTGAAATTCATTTGGGTCTAATTAAACCATTCAAAGATCCATTGAGTTTGCCTCAAACTTTACAGACCAAATTACAGATAAAACCCAACTACAAAGATTTTTGGGATGTCTCAATTATGTGTCTGATTTTCTTCAAAATATCATACCCATCTGCAAGCCACTTTTTGAAAGGCTCAAAAAGAATCCAAACCCCTAGACTGAAGAACACACCAAAACACTCCAAAAAAATCAAATCCCTTGTCAAGTCAATTCTATGTTTATCGCTGATAAACCCAAGGGCTAGTTTAATAGTGGAGACCGACGCATCCGATATTTGATATGGAGGAATCCTAAAATAGTCCCTTGACAAGAAAGAATCCATTGTCCGTTTCCATTCTGGAATATGGAATTCTACTAAAAAAAATTACTCAACAGTAAAGAAAGAAATACTTTCAATAGTACTTTGTGTACAAAAATTTCAAAGTGATTTAACTAACAAAAGCTTTGTTATCAAAACAGATTCAAGGGCATCTAAATTTGTTTTAGAAAAAGATGTCAAGAATCTTGTGTCTAAACAAATTTTTGCTAGATGGCAAGCCATTTTGCTTCGACTTCCAAATTTTGCCTATAAAAGGGATCGAAAACCCCTTGACAGATTACCTCTCAAGAGAGTTCTTACTCTCAAAGAAAAATTCTCCCTAACCAATCTACTTCTCCCAGCAATGATCAGAAAGAAAGTGATCGAAAAAGGGAAGAAGCCCAAAGTTTCATTTCTTTTATTTATTTCTTATTTATTTATTTACTTTTTTTTTTGGTTCATACATGGTCTACAGAAAAAATAAATAAATGAGTGTCTTAATATTAGAATTACTTGGGAATTTCTCCGTGATCTCTTCCTATGTTTTCACATAGTTTCTCCCATTTCATAGTCTCCTAAAGATCTCTTCCATTTCATAATCTTTAATGATATTTTTTAGGAAAAAATGTTGAGTTGGATGGTTTCATATTAAAAAGTTGAATTGACCTAACTTCTTATTTTCTTTTCATCCTCATGACAGCCCAAACTCACCAATGGTGGGCTTAGACGATTGAAAATGGTATAGGAAAATGAGAAACAAAGCATAGATTATAAGATTTGTAAACTACCATGTTAACAGAGCATACATTATAAGATTTGTAAACGACCATGTTAATTTCCTTTCTATTCTAAGTAAAAACTAGCTTCTTCAAGCCTAATATGTTCACGGTCTTTATGACCTTCGTTTCTCTTTTACTCTGTCAACTTTCTCTCTCCTTTGTAATGTCATTCCGATATTCGTTTCTTGCTATGTTCTTTTGGTTATTCAACGTTTCTCCTTTCTCTTCACCTCCCACGTAATTTTATGGGATGAAAATACCTACAACTACCCGATCTGTTATGACAACTATTTTGAGATTCAAACTCCCTTTTTCCAACGACAATTAGGATCGATACCAGTTGTTAACTCTGATACCAATTGTTAGGATCGCTCAACAACGCACACACTCGATCAAGATGAACCGAAAGAACAAGAGAGAGAAAATACAAGGAGGAATATTGGCTAAAGGTTTTATATTGATGACTTCAGGTATTGTACAACAATAGAGAATACAGAGAATGGAGAAAGTACATCATCTTGAGAGCAATGAACAATAGAGAATACAGAGAATGGAGAAATTACATCTGTGCATAATCGTGGGGTATATATATATGGTTTCAGTTTACTAAATATAGCTTCCAAAGATTTAAACGTGGAGATATAATCTAACAAATATATCTCTATCAAATCTTTATCAAATCTGTGCACGGTATATTTCTATCGTATCTTTACAAAATATCTTCCAAATATATCTCTCCCAGAAAGCATTTCCATATCCCAATACTCTAGTACATACAAGTTTTGGAGGGATGTCTGGTCTTGTGGGATTGGTGTTTCGACGTTGTTTTTCATCTTGTTAAGCTCGTTGGCGAGGGTTTAATTTTTTTTTTCCCTCTCTTTCATTCTTTCTTTGTGTAGCAGTGTTTTGGGGCATGAGCTGAAGGACGGAAAGGAGTGTGGAGATTCTTGGGGTTAGGAAAGCATGGTATGAGGCGTTATAACGAGAATTCTTGCACTCCCCGTAATTCTTGGGTCTCGTTGGAGTTTTGTCTTTTTTTTTTTTTAATCCTATGCTGTTACATTGATCTATGAGCTTAGAGTTGAAATCTTAAGAAGAACGACATGGTGAAAAAAACTAAATCGGGGTTAATATGTTTCGACATTATTGTGACGAGTGTAACTCTCATAGTATGATATCGTAATTGCACACTTTGGAGTGTTCATGGGTTGCATTAGGTTTTGTTCAGACATTTTTTTAGATCCAGCTCCATTGTTTGACTGTCAATTTTTTAACCCAACCCCTGTTAAATAATGGAATCAGCTCCATTGTTTGAATGTAAATTTTTTAACCCTACCCTCGTTAAATAATGGAATCAACCCAAATAATGGAATCAACCCAACCACAACAATGAATATTTGTGTTAGGGCCCAACCCTCGTTAAATAATGGAATCAACCCAAATAATGGAATCAACCCAACCACAACAATGAATATTTGTGTTAGGGACTGTAAATTTTTTAACCCAACCCTTGTTAAATAATGGAATCAACCCAACCACACCAATGAATATTTGTGTTAAATAAAAATAAAATGTTAATATTTTTAAAAAATCTATTTATTTATTTTAAAACATTGAATTACATTTTTTTTATTTCAATTTCAATATATATTTTGAAAAATCACCCACTAAATACTTCAAAATTTTATTTTAAGAGATTATAGAATAATTCATAAAAAAATTTATTGAGTTTTTTAAACACTCCTGAATTGATTACTTATTGTTTAACTCATTCTGCTACTCTCTGGAGTTTCAAATGTATACTTTTCAATTAAAAAAATTCATTATCAAACATGGTTCTATTTTTATTATAAACAATGAAGGAGAATTCGTTACCAAACATGTCCATATTTGCTTTCATTTACATTCTATTTTTATTATAAACAACAAAGGAGAATTCATTACCAAACATGTCCATATTTGCTTTCATTTACAACAAGAATATTAAGAATATAAAATATTGAAACGTCCTTGTCATCAACTTTAAACGACAGATGGTTAACAATAGAGCTCCCATTGGAGGTTTTGAAAATAACTAAAATACTACTAATAATAAATAAATAAAATATGTAAGCTTAACCTGCGGTGGTTACCTATTCCAATATAACAATAATATGTTTCTTTATTTTACTCATATAAAAGTGGAACAATTGAACACATTTTTTTACTCATAAAAGTTGTACAAATCCAGCACAAAATTTTATGAGTATAATCAAATTACTAACAAAATTTATAAAATCACATTTTTTCCGTTAATTATATATATATATATATATATATATATATATATATATATATATATATATATTTTGTATAATGTAACTTGTATGACAAGGAAGCCAATCTTAATGAATAGATTTAATACAAAAAAATAAATGTATTTATTAAAAACATTTAATGAATTTAATATTTTAATCGTATTTTATTTAATCAAGCAATTAAAATATAAGGGCAAAATTGTAATATAATAATGAATCAAAATTCTTTTTTATTTTTCAACTTTGCCTCACATCACACGTCCATGGAAATCGATAAAATAAATTTAAAAATAAAATTAAAAAGAGAAAAGAAATTCAGTTGAAGTAGTAGGCGACCAAGGAAACAAGCGAGGCGCCGACGAGCGATCCAAGGGCGGGAAGAGTGGCGGAGGCGGCGCTGCTCGGCCCTGGAGCGGCGGCGGGAGAGAGAGACTCATCGGAAGCCACGACTGCAGTGACAGTAGCGGCGGCGAAGAGGGCGGCGCAGGCGATCTTCTTCATTTCCATGGCGGATTAGGATGAACTGGTTGCTTTCTTCGGCAGGAAAACTCACTTCAAATTGAGATAAGAGAGAGAGCAATCGAACCGAAGAAGCCTTAAATCGTTCGATTATTGCCTGATGAATAACGACGCCGATTGGGGGAATTTATAGCTTCATCAGGATGCTAATTTGGGTAATTGACAATTGATCCTAATTTGGGTAATTGACAATTCATCCTAATTTTAAGAACAAACTATATTTACAAAATGAATTCATTTTCAACACTTTCACTGTCTCTCCTATTGTCATTGTTCTTTGCTACCCTAGTTACTAACATCTATGGAAAAATCTTAGGAAACTCACCCATTACAGTAAACATAACAAATGTTCTAAAAAGTCATGATCAGCTCACTATTCACTGCAAATCTGGTGATGATGACTTGGGAGTCCATCATCTCCCACCTTTGAGCGGCTATGCTTTTAGTTTTCGACCAAACTTTTGGAGCTCAACACAGTTTTACTGCACCTTCCAGTGGTCTGGCTGGTCGCATTACTTTGATATATACAAGGATGATAGAGATAGAACCAAATGCAACGATACTCTATGTTTGTAGATAGTGGTTGAACATGGTATTTGTATGTTCAACTATAAAACCAAATTGTATGATATTTGCTACGCATGGCCGGCTAAATGAATATCAAAAATTGATATATCCATGAATTGGAGGGTTTTGATTATGATATTATAATAAATCGATATAAATTTGATACGGTGTATTAGTTTTAATGAATTATATTATTAAGATTTGTTAAGGTATTTCAATGCATCCAATACTTATTTATTAATTTCTTCTACTTTGATCCAAATTATTTGCCCTCATTTATTGAAATCTCCCATCATTTTTTGGAACATAAATCAAACTCAAATATGACAAGAATAGAAAACCAAATTAACTTTTTTTTTATTAGTTATAAAATTTAAACATCTCATTAGCTTTTAATGTTACGTTACTTGTCTATATTATTTAGATGAAAATGAGTCCAATTTCAATGGTGGCGCAATCTCGAATAATATCATTATTTTTATTTGCTAATCTATTTACTATGGAATTATCAATTGAATTTATAGCCACCCAATCAAAATAATTCATTTTATAAGCTTGTTCAAATCAACATGATTATTGTCACGGTCTTACATCAATCGCATAATGAAATTTGTTTATTACGACTCTCAAGTTGTTCGATGGGCGACACTCGCATAATAAACTCAGTTTAGTTTGACCCGTAAATGCTTCCACTAATGAGAAACTGTCGTACTATATTAGTTTGACCCCTACATTTTGACCCTTTGCAAATAAGGTATGAACTACCCTAAGCATAATTTAATAGATACGGTATGAATTAAGATCACAAAGTTCGATAGTTCAATTTCTTACTCCTAAAATGTTGAACTTAAAAAAATGAAAATTTAGAGACCTATTAGACATAGTCTTAGGTTTACGGACCAAATAGATATAAAGTTGAAAGTTTGTCATGGACTCAACGTATAATTTAGATAACATTGAATGTCCAATACGCTTTTAATCTTACATGATTTTAAAACTTCATCATAAAGTATATATCCCATCTTAAAACACTGTTATGGACTTACGTGTTCGAAAGAATCTTTAAAACGACACAACAAAAAACTAAATTAAATAAATAAACGTAAAAATTAAAAATACCTTATTTTAACTTAAGTTTAAGAAAATAAATCCGAATATACAGTATGCATGTGTTATGGTATCAGATTGTAATGTCGTCGTCAGCCGTATAGAGGTTTGGATTGCAATGGTCTCAGATTAATAGTTTCCTTGATATGTTAGGTTACCACGTTCTTTGTTCTTGTCTAGTTCTTGTTCTTGTTCTTGTTGTAAGTACTTAGGTAATGTAGTTTTTGTTTTGACTTGGGTCCTTATCATGATCTATCCTGAGGACTTTGGCCCCTGGATTCTGAGACCTTGGTTATTCTTTAAGGGTCTTAGTACCATGGTTCTTGGTTCTTGATTCTTGTCGTTAGAACTAGGATTTTGATCCATGTTTTAGACATTGTTCTTTCTCTTGTTCTTGGTACTTTTTTGGTTCTTGTTACGTTCTTGATTCATTCTCCAAGACACTCCCCCTAGGATTTACGGCACTAGACATGCTCCTGAAAATCTTGTGTCCAAGGCTTCATGCGTTCCAAGCAACAAAGACTTAACCTACATCCAAGGCTTCATGCGTTCCAAGCGACGTAGTCTTAACTCAAATCTTAGGGCTTGTGCTTCAATACGGTCTGCCAACCTATGTCCAAGGCTTCATGCGTTCGAAGCGGCATAGTCTGAAAACCTTCATCCAAGTTTCTTACGTTCCAAGCGATGTGGTCTAATCCTGTATCGAGGGCTTGCCCTATAATACAGTCTGAATACCTATACTCAAGGCTTTATGCATGCCAAGCAACATAGTCTAAGTCATGAGCACACTGTACCGTGGGAGGTCTTAGGAGGTTATTGATTCGTGGCTAAGGTAACTTTCTTTCTTCTTGTTCCATCGTAGCCCTAGACTACTCCCCATGATAGACCATAAAGGTCACGTGGTCGGTGCATACATGAACACGACATGCTGCAAATCTTTGGGTACCCATAACATGGTGTAGAGCATCTCGTCTAGGTTAGGGAATGTGGTCAAACATGACATCCTGCAAATAAAACATGGTGCAGGACATCCCAACTAGAAGAGGAAAACTTGGTGGGAGGTCATGGGTCATTTTTGACATGATTAGAGTATTACCTAGCATCCTTGAGTTTTTGTGTACGAGGACCTTGGTCCCTTATTCTTTTGTGGTACCTAGCATTATTCTTATTTAGGTAGCTGTAAAGCTTTTGTGGTGTTATTCTTGGTTCTCAACCTCGTAAGTTCCTAAGGTCCATAATTCCTTGAGGCATAAGTTGTAACTTGCATTTGTAACCATATGAACCCATCTTAGCGTGAGTTGCTTGCTTCATCATCGACGTTTGGGACTTTCGTTTTGAGCTTTCGATATCCAAATTACTTCAAATTTCCTTCCACAGACTCCTTATTGTGTCTAGTTTCTGGAACCGTAAGTGTTTTCATGAGAACCGATTTGAAAGGGGGTTAAAAGTGAGAAAAACTGAGAAAATATCAGATTTAGGGTCGACTGGGCCGATTCAACTGAACCGACCACATCATCATCTTCTTCCTCCAGACGCTATTGTCTGAAACTGAACCTCTATGGTCACATTTACAGCGGTTCTCCCGTCGATTTCTTCATGAAACTTAAAGATGGTGTTACAAGGAAGAGCTAAGGATTGATTTCATACCTTCTTGTGGATTGTAGCCTAAGATATTTTCTTCCGACGTTCATCCAAAATCAGTTTTTCGCTGGAACAAAAACAGAGGATTAATCATTGGGTAGCCAATTCAAGGGGTTTTCGAGGCCCGATTTCTTCATGGAACCACTCCCATATACTTTCCCTCAAGCTAGAGGACTTGGTTTGGAGGAACGCCTTTGAGTGTGTGACCTTAATTTTGAGAAATTGTAATCGGCTGCAATGTTACTCAAAATGTCGGATTTTTGTTCTCTTGGACAGCCTATTCCACGACGTTTAAGCTCTCGTTTCCTTCATCAAAGTTACTCAACTCGATCCTCTGAAGCTTAAGGAATACTCAATTTGAAGGAAAATGAACTGTAGATAGGAATTAAAAACAAATTTTCTTCAATTGGGCACGTTCTTCCGGTTATTTCTCTTCATGGTCTTCTACAAAAACATTTCTTGGAGGTGCAGAAACTCACTGGGATCATCCTTGCTCGATGAATTCTCGTGTATCCTCGGATTGGAATTTTGAGTTTTCCTTGAAGCTCTTTAATGGCGGATTGGATTGGGGGAATAATTTCTAGGCACTTTTAGCACTCAATTTCTTCATAGAACTTGTTGGTAATCTTGTTTAGAAATTGTAGGAACAAGTTTGAAGAGAAATGGTAGAGAATTGCTCCCGAATTTGGAAGAAACTCGAGAGTAGGAGATCCAAAAATCTAAATGCTTATTGACTACAATAGGGAGCTCGACCTTGCTCGATTCTTGTTCCAAACTATTCCTCAACTTCATACTTTATAGAGGAAGCTTAAACCGACATTAAGAGCTCTAGAACCATAGTGATTTGGAGATTGAGCTTTCTAGATAATCCATCAGAAATATCTACTCCGATCAGTCTAACCGACCTTTGTTTTGAATCCTAGCCATTGGATGTGATATTTTGTGAGTGTTTTAGAATATACCTAATTTTGATGGAGATCCAATGGCTGAGAGTCGAGATTCGATAGATTTTGTGCAGATGGTCATCGTTGATCATTTGATTCTTGTCATAATGGCAGTTTCGTAATTATCCATATCTTCAAGGGTCATTTGATAGTTTGTCACTTTCAGCATATATTATTACTATTCTTCTAAAAAAATCCATAATTTTCATAACAATTCATCATTCCTTGTTCGTCATTATTTTTCCTTCTAGACCATCTTGAAATTCTATCTAGATAAGGAATTTAAAATCGGGAAAGTTCCTTTGAAATTGGAAAACGACCTTTTCGTCCTTTTCGCTTATATTTTCATTCCCAATCCTTCACCAAAGGCTTTATTTCACGACCCAATATTTTATTACGGACCGTGACTAATGACAACGCACAAATGCACAAAGTGATTTAAATATGAAATAGAGAAAATCCTTTAATTCCCATAAAGTTTTTCAACGACAAACAAACAGAACACTTTACAGTTTGGAAATAAAGTTTGAAAGAAAGCAAATACAAAATAAAGACTAGACTGACGCCCTGGGCAACCCATTCTTCTGTGACAATCCCCGTCTCCATCACGGTCTCTCTTGATCGATGCCTCGCGCTCCTGAAAAAGAAAAACATAGCAAGGATGAGTATAAAAAAATTATACTTAGTAAGCCACCTACTTGTAGGCTCTCTTCGCATCCTAACTTAACCGTTCTCACGGTCTCCTAATTCGATTCTAGGACATCTGGTTCTAATCTTAGTCCTTGGGGCTTGCCC